AGGATACGAATAATCATTATTTCTTCTGTTCATTAAATGGACCATTAAATAAAGAAACTTAATACATTCCCACACAAAAGATAAATGTTTGCGGTGATAGATGATCTCAAATTACCTATGATTTGATCATTACACATTCTTACAGGTATTAAATATACATTGTACCCCCAAATATTAACTATTATATTCAGTAAACTTTTTAAAATAATTTTATAAAATTAAAATAATTTAATTTGTAAGTCCTCATGGAAGGGCTAGTAATTGGTAAATACTTGTAACTGATGAAGAACCTAAGAAAGGAAATCAGGCTCTTAGTGATTTTTCTGACTACAGTCTGTTTTCTCAATAGGGATGAAACATTGCTTTGTGCTCCCATTCAGACTCAGATTGCACAGGAAAGAGGGCTAGAGTTTATGCACCTACTGCACATTATTTAATTCTCTTGACAGTTAAAACTCAAAAAGCATCTGGCATGATTAGGGGTGACTTAACAATATGAATAGCATAAATTATAAAAACTCCTGCCTTCTCAGTTACTTAACGGAAGTTAAATCACTGCTAATTGTTAAATAATAGATACTATCTATTACAAAGACTATTCAAACTTTAAAGCAGTGTTGAATCATCTCAGAATTTACTAAAAAAAAAACAGATTCTAATCCAGTAGAAATGAAGTAGAACCTGAGGTCATACATTTCTAATGTCTCACCTCAGGTGATACTAGTGCATGAGGTACACAGACCATACTTTCAGCTAGCAAGGAGGGGGGGTGTTAAACATGTCCTCTCAAAAAAAAAACAAAAAAATTCAAGGCACAGAATAATATAGTAGCCATCATGCATTTATGCCTTTCTAAGGGACTTTTTTTCTTTAGGATGAGCATGACCTTTTCATATCCGATTATAGCAATTAGATTTCATTTATGTATACATTTAGATGTGTCTTCATTTTCAGTCATTTTTACATGGGTATGTTAATTAATCTTGAATTTGTTGTTAAACCATGTTTTTTTTAAATCTGTCCCAAAACACTAAAAGTAACCTTCATTCAAGACTTTAGAAAAAAAATTTAATAAATTGTATGACATGTCATTGATTCACAAACAAACCAATGTGTCATGAAACCATCACTGAGGATCGAAATATATATAGTACATGTTGTAAATGCCTTTCTTTACAAGTTTCCATTTGGACTGATCTCTTTATATTTTGCTCTGTCATTTATAGTTTCAGATGGTAATAGAACATATAACCATGAAAGGATTACACGAAATGACCAGACAGGTCATCTTTTCTGATAAAACCAGGATGGGACCTGCAGCGATGTCATACTGTGCATGACTTCCAAAGGCCTTTTTAGACAGTACCAAAAGGAAAAGTCCACCAAAATAGATAACTCATCATTTCTAGCTCAATTTAAAGGCTCCATACTGGGATTCAAGAATGCAAAACAGAAATTAACATTTTCTACAACTCAAAACAACTTCGAGAAGAAAATAAATTTCAAATGACTTCATTAAAAAGATGAAAGCAAGAAATATAATGCTTCTCTTCTACAGGGCTGATAAAGAAAAATTTTGAGGTATCTATTTTATTCCAAAAATCAAATAGTGCCTCTTCACACATCAAGTGCATTTGCACCTCTTATTTGATGTAGATGGAGACAGTAGCTAATATAACTAGAATCTTTAAGAACAAGATGATGGATTAACTTTCACCCAATGTCAACAGCCAATATTTCAGACTTTGATTCCCACATCCAGTGAGGCAACTTACAGGAATTTAAAGGCAATGATATTACCAATTTATGGAATGGACTTTATGGACATTGCAGTTAACCACACTATACAGATTTTACCCTCAGCACGCGTACTTTATCTGAAATAGAAGTCAAACTCAGAATGTCACACATTGGATGTCACACAGGTTACAGAACTAAGCTCTGGAAAGAAAACTGTTTTCTTTAAAATAAACCAATACTGCTTTTCAAGGACTTCCTTAAACCCGAAGACCAATACCATAAGTACCAGAAGTTCATGTATATGAGGCAGAAACTATACACTGGTCACACAGACTTCTAATCAAGATGCCAGAATTTAGCCATGACCCAGAATCCATATGTTCTAGTCAGCTACTCAAGGTTATAGACCATTTTCTATTCAGTTGTAGATGATGCATTGAACTGACCAAGTGTCTCTCAAGTATGAGAGATCGAGAAGAATTTACTTAAAGCATGGACAATACATTCTAAAATGATATCCCAATCTGGAT